CGCGCCCAATATTGTTCTCTGCGGCCCAGGTTTCAACGTAGCTGCGGACGGCAGCACTTGTGTACATACCATGGGTGATGGTGCCTGGTAATTTGGCATAGCTGGAGAACACCCGGGACACATGAATGGGGTTGTAGTCGCCCGAGACACGAGCATAGGTCTCGTTGGACGCGGGAGCACGCAAGACTAGCGGGGTCTTGCCGCTAAGGGGGATTGGGTTCTCAAAGTAAACTGGCTGCTCGATAGAAGTACCATTTCGCTGGAGGTAATCAATCACAGGATTTCCATGAGATGTACCCGCCTCATAATCCACAGAAGCCACCTGGATGACCTCCTTCGTCGGCAATTCCAGCAGTACCTGGCCTACAGTCTGAACGTTGCTGAAGACGGTCTTGTTCTTGAAGCGGATCAGACTTTGAAGGCGGAAAGTCAAGGTCTGGCCCAGGAGTTCGACATCGCTTTCATCCATGCGGAACCACTCTTTCGAGCGAAGAATCGCCACATCTCTGCTGGATGCAAGGTGAACCTGCATGGGCACCTCGTCCTTACGTTGGAAGGTGTTCTCAAAGTCCAGGTAGGCACCACGATACAGGAACTGACTGGTAACATGCATGATCGGCTTGCCCTCTCTGAGAATAGTGCCACAGACCTCAACCATCTTACCGGAGTCTTGATTGATGACCGAATTGATTTGAGCTGAAGTATCCAGAACGTCGCCGACCTTCAGAGGCTGAGCCCCAGGAACCATTTTGAATCCATTGGATAGATGAACAAGCTTCAGTAGGTCACCATCAATGGTACGAGGGAAGATAGGTTTGGTGATAGCCTTCCACCCGGCAACGATGGCAAAATCCATGGGGGCGAACACCTCTTTGCCAGGTCGGTCCACGAAAGCCTCACCAGTGTTGCCAACAGCATGAACAAAGTCAGCTACAGCTTGCGACGTGATTGTCTCACGTCCACCGTTGAAAGTGGCAGTCGTCGGTGTATCGAAAGGAACATCCTTATTGCCAAACCAGACGCGATAGTAGAACTCCTTGATGCGATCGTTGCGGCCTTCCATTACCTCCCTGATGGGTGCGTACCCTGCCTCAGGGTGATACGTGAAGAGGAATGTCAAGGGAACGACAGCAGCCTCCGCGGTCCGACCCTCAAAAAGAGTTAGGCTAATTTGATTCTTGTCGTTCATCTTTACCTCAACTGTTTTGACCAATTTGCCGGATTGGTAAGGCTCCCGCACGACGATACTCGTCTTGGATGGGTCATCAGGATGCGAGATTTCCACGTACATGCCTGCGACGGGTGCGACTATGCGTTTTAAGGGATTGGCATCGAAACGATGATCCTGAACGAACACGTCTGCCAAAAACAACGCATGTCTCCAGGAATACGCCGAGCCAGCAAGAACACGAAGCCAGCGATCCAAATCAGGCAGGTCCGCTGAGGGAGAAGATGACAAGCGGTAGGTGATCTTGTCACCGTCTTCCGCGATTGTCAAGCCGTCAATATCTTGCTCATCGTCGATCCTGTCGAATAGTCCCCCGAAATACTCGATGACAGGCACTTGCGTCTCGTCTCCGCTGTACACATCCTGAATCAGGTTCTTCACGTGACCCTGGTGGATACCGTCCAAGATGTCCCGGACAGGCTCGTCAATGATAGTTGAGAACTTGGCAGCCATGGGACCCTGAAGGATACATGTCCTTCCGACGTCCTGGCCCACAACAGCCTCCAAATCCTCGCTCTGCCAAAGAGAGTCTTTCTTGAACCAGTACTCGAAATTCTCATCCAAGGAAGGTACGAAGGGAACGGGCTTCTGTCCCCGACGCTGGCAGAGTAGTAAGAAATGCTGAACGTCCTGGGCGTTGATCAATTGGGTGGCTGCCTCAGGGTAGGCAGCCAGGATGTTGTCAATATTAGGATAAGGAGTATTCAGCTCAGAATAATTTTGGAGAAGGGACGGCTGACCCTCAGTTGTAGTGAAGCGTTCCTCAACACGGCGGATGAAGTCGCCAGTAAGCTTTTTCAGAGACTCATCGATCCATCTTGACTCATGCTTGACATACATGAGATCTACCATGCGGTGGACGACTTCAGTGTAGGTCATGTCTTCGAGGTCGACGGTTTCGCCAGCAGCATTGCGGCCGAACCAGACCTTATGAAAATCATCGTTCAGCTTCTTGATAATGTAATTGCGCTGCTTCTTCAGCTCCGGGACACGCTTAGCCTTGTCCAACTTGAAGATCTTCTGGTCCATCTCGTGCCAGAACAAGACACCCCTGGTGGCTAGCTTGTGAATCGGCTCACCCATTTCAGACAAGACGGTAACCACGCCTCCTGCGGCTCCCTTGTATGTCTTCTCCCAATCTTTGTCATCAAGGCCAGGTGCATCGGCAATAGCCTTCTTGGCATTCTTAGATGTATGAGCCTCTTTGGAGATCATCATGCGGCTTCCAAACAAACATCCATCGAAAGGCATCGGGGGGTATCCGAAGCCAGATGACCAGGTGCCTGAGAGATAGGGGTAGGTATCCTCGGAGCCACCAAAGCCGCTGCCTGCCACAAGGACAATGTTCTCATAACGTCTGATACGGCTGTACATTTGCAAAATTGGCTGATGAAAGTCTTCGAATGAGTGATGACCACCACCACGGCCTCCGGTCCATTGAAGAATGATAGGGAACTTCGGGTTAGCCTTGGCAATGTTGATTACCTGTTGAATAGCATCGACAGAGCCCGGCTTGAATGCAATGTGCTTGATCCCCAAAGTCTCGATGTACTCATTTGCCACCTCAATGGACGGAACACCGGCACCAATCGTCAGACCCTCGATCGGCACGCCTTCAGATCTCAACCTACCGATCAAGGGAATCTGCCACGCCATAGCACGAGGGTTGACATAAATCAAGTTAATCGTGATGCCACGCCCGGGAGGGATGGCCTTTTCGATCTTTGTCACAGCGTCAGTCATGGTCTTGGCATTGTAGTAACCGCCACCCGCAAGCTCGATGTGGTAACCAGCGTTCATTGTAGCAGCAACAAAATCCCAAGCAACAGTGGTGGGGGTCATCCCGGCCACCATGACTGGCGGAATTCCTAGCAGTCGGCTCATCTTGGTGTCCACGAAGGTCTGGCCCATCGCGTTCTTCACGAGACGTGGCCCGTACTCCTTGACCCAGTCAATGGCGTACTTGACAGAGTGTTCGTCACGATCGAATAGCTCGGGCTTATATCCCACTTCGGCGTTGGTGCCGTCCATAGCTCCCGCAAGCACCACACGAACACCGGTTCCATCCTTGTTGCGGTTGGTCAGGACTCCCAAGCCAGAGATGCCGCCGGGTCCGAAGTCAACGATGTGTGTGGCACCAGGGAAGACTGTGGCTTGCTCCCAGTTGACAGCATCATGGGTTATCATGCGAACTAACGCCGGTACGATATTGGCTTCACTAATCTTCCGCAGGTCATCACCGGTCTTAGTGCCGAAGACGGGGATGGCGAGTGATCCGGGGGATATCTCCAAGTCCTCTAGATCTTCCAGGATACGGTCATAAGCCGGGTACAAGTACTGGCTATGGAAAGGAGCGGTGATAGGGAGAAATCGGTTGACGAAGCGGACCTTGCGCTGGGTGTAAGGGACACGGTTCTGATCCAGACCTGTGGGCGCTTTGACCTTGCGCAGGCGCAGATTAAGACCATACAAAGACAAGGGAGGTCCAGTCACAACAAAGTTGCGAGCGCTGTTAATCAAGGAAATAGAGATATGGCGGTCCTCGGGGAGATGCTGGTTGGTCATATCAATGTGTTCTTGCACGGCTGCTCTTGGCAGATCTCGGATAGACAGCATCGGTGTGGGCGCACCCTCTCCATTCTCAATCGAGTCTTGCAGAACCGAGGGCGCAATAGAAGTACGCGGATAGGCTTGCTGGCTGCGAAGACCAATCCAGAAAAGCATGGTCAATGCATTTTTGGAAGCCAGCTGGAAACTTTCCCAGGAAGTGGCGGAGGCGATCGCCGCTGCAGTGACCACTCCCTGAGAATGGCCAGTGGTTCCGCTGAATCTTTCGAGGACCTCACCGGGTGTTTTGCCCAGGACCTTGCAAGTAACAACGAAATGTGCTAGTTGAACCAAGCCAATCAACGGCAAGCTGACAGGCGCGGACACGAGATAATCTGTGTCAGGTTGAGAATCCGGGTCCTGGAGCCACTGGATGACGTCCAATCCTTTAGGGTAAAGCTTATTGGCCTCGGGCTCCCGCGAAAGGGATTGAAGCAACTCGGCAGAGGATGTGATCAGATCATCCACGAACGAGGGGTAGGTGGTATAAACTTCCCTTAACTCATCGAAATATTCTTCGATGTTACCTTGTCCCCCAAAGACTGAATAGATGCTCGCTTTCTCCTCTGACGCGGCTCGGAAGAGGGCCGAATCGTAGGGCTTGGTAGGCCGCCCAGCGGCAGCTCTACCGGCATAATAGGCCTTGACAACTAGCACCTTCTTCGTGGTAATGCCGGGTAGACCAGCAGCAACAGCGTGCACATCATTGCCGCGCATGAAGGCCCGTTCGAACTCGTTCAATGCCAGTTTCAAAACCTCCAAGTAGGTGCCCTGGGCATCGTCTTCGCCCTCTTCCACCTCGCGTGCAACATGGTCAATGTATCTTGCGACCAATTCGGCGACCGAGGAGGGCTCATCGTCTTGGGCAAGCTCATCTGTCGGCTGTGGTAACGATGCTGTGAAAACATCCTTCAATTGCGATGCATGGAAATGAAGCGACGTCGGGACGAGGAAAGAGAATTCAAGCGAGCCATGAGCCAAAATAAGTGGCCTCAATGACTGTGACGAGCGAGGGGTATTAATGCCCGTTTGTGGGCCGGTAGATGTTCCATACATCCTGTAGTTCTCTTGTCGTTAAGGTCTATGAGCGGAAGGCCGAAAAAGGCGTCGGGGAAGAAAAATATTAAACGGAAAAGTGCGTAGGTTCTGTTATCGATAAGTATATATTGTAAACCGAAAATTTGTGCTAGCAAGTGATAGAAGACAGAGGAGGGAGAGGAGAAAAAGCGTGTGTGTGCACATGGTCCTTTTCTCCTTTTTAATCTCGTTCTTCCTTGGGCGTGTGGCCTACCTATTTCTATCAGAAATTGTGAAATAAACCTGAACTCAAGGGAACCACAGCCGGACACGTCGTCCAACACAGGATAGGTAGGGGAGGGGCGGCCGCCGGAGGAGGAGGAGGGTAGAAGAGTAAAGACAAGAAAGATGAAGTTTAGAGGAAGAGAGGTATGGGGAAAAACGGTACTACGATATGGGGGAAGAGGAGGAAAGAGAGAGAGAGGGGGGGGGGGGGGGGGAGGGGAGGAGGAGGAGGTAGAGGGGAAGAACAGTAGGAGAAGGCAGGATGGAATTGAAGCCTTGAATGGGCAATTGGAGAGCGCGAGAGTGGTTCAGCACCTTGCGGTACTAGTAATAATTTTGGAATCCCGGCCCCGAGATAGGGCGGTTGTGCACACTGTTGAACCGGCTGGGCGGAGGAAGAGATCCGCCGGCGTGGGCTGGTTGAATAGGAACTGGCCGAATTCGGTATGGTGGGTGGCCGCACCTCCCCAAAACTCTGAAATGGTTGGGCTGGACCTGAAGACGCGGTGACAATACCTGACCACTATTTTCTGCTCATTCCTGTCCATTCCTGACCATTCAACAGTTGAAAGGTTCAATTGATGGTTTAGCAATGACTACGGAGACTAGGTATTTAATCTTCACCAACAGATCCATTGAGTACTTAGAAATGTAATCAGTATAGTTCTTGTAGTATCATAATACCTAGATGTCAGTAGTGTGCTGCTGAATTCAACCTGTCAGGTCTGATTCAATTGCAATCCTTATGATGGTTTTGCACCAATCATACGCTGTTGTTGTGACTTGTTCTTCCCTCCCTCCCTTTTTTTTTTTCCCATCTTTCTACTCTTCCATGCTCGTTCTCGGCTCCGAAAGACTGCTGGAATTCATGCAATGCTTCCGTACCGTATGAAAGTCAACTTCCGCCCCAACACTCACCCAAAAAGAAAAAAAGAAAAAAAAGAAAGTAACAGAGGAGAGAAAAAAAAAGGCCCCAGTTCTAAGTCCCGTCCCAATTCCCAGCTACAATAATACTTTGGTACCCATCCGGTTGCCGTCGCTACATACTACGTATCGCCAACCTTTCCGTCACCCAAACCCCCCTCTTCTCCCATCCTAAAACTCCCAGGCGTTAAATAATATTCTTTACATTCGTATTAGTGTATTTTCTCTGGAATTTTATCGTTGATCGCTTCGATTCTCATCCACTTTCTTTGGCACATATCTGGATCGAGGTCAGTCGGCGATTCCCATCTCCCTCCCACCCACCCCCTCCCTCCCTTTCCCTTCTCCTCCCCCTCCCCTCCCTCTTCTACCCCCACTGATAGTGGTCCTGAACTGGGGGTGAGTATTTCTTGTTCCCACCCGGAATTGCCGTGGATCAATTTTCATTTTCCCTTCCAGCTACCCTTTCCCGCACGCGCTTGGCTGCCTGCTCAAGCACTTTGAGTGGTGCCAGAACCCAACCGAAAGAAATCAAAACAAGCTGAAGGTTCAATTAGAGTACTATTGGCATCGGAATCGATTGGACTGACCTGTTCATATTTCTAGTTAGGATTGAACCAACACCTATATTATCACTTAATGATTCGCATCTTCCTTCCGTTGCCCTAACTCCGACTTGTACTGTTCTTCCCTCAACAACCTTCTGGTGTTCATCCTTTGCCTGGCCGCCACTTCTCCCCAACCAATTGAGGCAGAGACTGAAATCAATCCCCGATCCTGGTTCAACCGCTTGAAGTTGACCTTCTCCATACCCCCATCTCTACGTGGGCATATCCTTACATCCCCATCAACAATATGCGTCCCGAGATTGAGCAAGAATTGGCCCACACCCTGCTGGTTGAGCTGCTGGCCTACCAGTTTGCCTCCCCAGTGAGATGGATCGAAACGCAAGATGTCATACTTGCAGAGAAGCGGACAGAACGGATTGTTGAAATCGGCCCCGCGGATACACTCGGTGGTATGGCAAAACGGACTCTTGCCTCGAAGTATGAAGGATACGACGCCGCTACTTCCGTGCAACGCCAAATACTTTGTTACAACAAGGATGCGAAGGAGATTTATTACGATGTCGACCCTGTGGAAGAGGAGGCCGACACTCCTGCAGAGCCCGCCGCTGGGATTCCGGCCCCCGCTGCTCCGGCCGCTGTTGCTGCCGCTCCTGTGGCAGCCGCTGCTCCGCCTAGTGCTGGACCTGCCGCAGCAATTGAGGATGCTCCTGTCACAGCAGTGGATGTCCTTAGGACATTGGTGGCGCAGAAGCTTAAGAAAAGCCTGTCCGATGTGCCTCTGAGCAAGGCCATCAAAGATCTTGTCGGAGGTGGGTACCTGCAGGAATCCCCTGAACAAGATGGGTTTAAACTCGTACTAATCTGGCGCAACCAGGTAAATCCACACTTCAAAATGAGATTCTTGGAGATTTGGGCAAGGAGTTTGGCTCTACGCCTGAAAAGCCGGAGGATACCCCCTTGGATGAATTAGGTGCATCCATGCAAGCCACATTCAATGGTCAATTGGGCAAACAGTCCTCTTCTCTCATTGCCCGCCTGGTATCATCGAAGATGCCGGGTGGATTCAATATCACTGCCGTTCGCAAGTACCTGGAGACGAGATGGGGTCTGGGTTCTGGCAGGCAGGACGGTGTGCTCCTCCTTGCGCTTACAATGGAGCCGCCATCTCGCATCGGTTCGGAACCCGATGCCAAGGGTTATCTCGACGATGTGACCAATAAATACGCTGCCAGTGCCGGCATAAGTCTGTCGGCTCCCACCACTGGAGGGGATGGCGGCGCCGGCGCCGGCGGTATGCTCATGGACCCCGCCGCTATTGATGCCCTGACGAAGGATCAACGCGCTTTGTTCAAGCAGCAGTTGGAACTCATTGCTCGCTACTTGAAAATGGATCTGCGCGCTGGTCAAAAGGCGTTCATCAACTCTCAAGAGACCCAGAAGACGCTGCAAGCGCAGCTAGACCTTTGGCAAGCCGAACATGGCGACTTCTATGCCTCTGGCATTGAGCCAGCGTTCGATCCTCTCAAGGCCCGTGTCTACGACTCCTCGTGGAACTGGGCTCGCCAAGATGCCCTGAGCATGTATTACGACATTATCTTTGGAAGACTCAAGGTTGTTGATAGGGAGATTGTGAGCCGCTGCATCCGTATCATGAACCGGTCAAACCCTCTCCTTCTAGACTTCATGCAGTATCATATCGACAACTGTCCCACTGATAGGGGTGAAACGTATCAGCTAGCAAAGGAGCTTGGTGAGCAACTTATCGAAAACTGCAAGGAGGTCCTTGACGCTGCTCCTGTCTACAAGGACGTCGCTGTTCCTACCGGACCTCAAACCACTGTCGATGCCCGAGGAAAGGTCGGTTACAAGGAAGTCCCTCGCGCCAGCGCCCGCAAACTAGAGCACTATGTCAAGCAGATGGCTGAAGGAGGTCCCATCTCGGAGTACAGCAACCGCGCCAAAGTGCAAGATGACCTACGCAGTGTCTATAAGTTGATCCGCAGGCAGCACCGCCTCTCCAAGTCTTCACAGCTACAGTTCAACGCTCTCTATAAAGAGGTTATTCGCGCCCTGAGCATGAATGAGAATCAGATTATTCCACAGGAGAACAGCAACGGAAAGAAGTCTGGCAGAAACAGTGTCAAGCGCAATGGTAGCCCTCGGTCCGGCAAAATTGAGACCATCCCATTCTTGCACCTGAAGAAGAAGAACGAACATGGCTGGGATTATAACAAGAAGCTCACCGGTGTCTATCTCGACGTTCTGGAGTCAGCAGCTCGATCTGGTCTCACATTCCAGGGCAAGAATATTCTCATGACTGGAGCTGGTGCCGGTTCCATCGGTGCTGAGGTGCTGCAGGGCCTGATCAGCGGTGGTGCGAAGGTGGTCGTCACGACGAGTCGATTCTCTCGTGAGGTCACTGAATACTATCAGGCCATGTACGCCCGCTATGGCGCTCGTGGCTCTCAACTTGTCGTTGTACCCTTCAACCAAGGCAGCAAACAAGATGTCGAAGCACTCGTCGACTATATTTACGACACTAAGAAGGGTCTTGGTTGGGATCTGGATTTCGTGGTCCCATTTGCTGCCATTCCGGAAAACGGTCGGGAGATCGACTCGATCGACTCCAAGTCTGAGCTGGCCCACCGCATCATGCTCACGAACCTGCTCCGACTTCTTGGTAGCATCAAGACACAGAAACAAGCCAATGGCTTTGAAACCCGCCCAGCCCAAGTCATTCTTCCCTTGTCTCCCAATCACGGCACTTTCGGAAATGATGGACTGTACTCGGAGTCGAAGCTGGCTCTGGAGACTCTTTTCAATCGCTGGTACTCGGAGAATTGGAGCAACTACTTGACCATCTGCGGTGCCGTCATTGGCTGGACGCGCGGTACGGGGTTGATGAGCGGTAACAACATGGTTGCTGAAGGCGTTGAAAAGCTCGGTGTCCGTACCTTCTCCCAGCAAGAGATGGCCTTCAACCTTCTTGGTCTTATGGCACCCGCTATTGTCAACTTATGCCAGCTTGATCCTGTCTGGGCTGATCTCAACGGCGGTCTTCAGTTCATCCCCGATCTTAAGGACCTCATGACGAGGCTCCGCACTGATATCATGGAGACTAGTGATGTCCGCCAAGCAGTTATCAAGGAAACCGCCATCGAGAATAAGGTTGTCAACGGAGAAGACAGTGAGGTCCTTTACAAAAGAGTGGTCGCCGAGCCCCGTGCCAATATCAAATTCCAGTTCCCACAACTCCCTAACTGGGAGAAGGATGTTCAGCCCCTCAATGAAAATCTCAAAGGCATGGTCAACCTTGACAAGGTGGTTGTTGTCACCGGATTCTCAGAAGTCGGCCCCTGGGGTAATTCCCGTACCCGTTGGGAGATGGAGGCCTACGGCAAGTTCTCCCTCGAAGGGTGCGTCGAGATGGCTTGGATTATGGGTTTAATCAAGCACCATAATGGTCCCCTCAAGGGCAAAGCCTATTCTGGGTGGGTGGACGCGAAGACTGGGGAGCCTGTGGACGACAAGGACGTCAAGCCCAAATATGAGAAGCACATTCTGGAGCATTCGGGCATTCGACTGATTGAGCCTGAGCTGTTTAAAGGATATGATCCCAAGAAGAAGCAACTTCTCCAAGAGATTGTTATCCAGGAAGATCTCGACCCCTTCGAGGCATCTAAGGAAACTGCTGAAGAGTTCAAGCGCGAGCATGGTGACAAAGTTGAAATCTTCGAACTGCCCGAATCGGGAGAGTACACTGTGCGCCTCAAGAAGGGGGCTACATTGCTTATTCCCAAGGCCCTCCAGTTCGATCGTCTCGTTGCTGGCCAGATTCCCACTGGCTGGGACGCCAAGCGCTACGGTATCCCAGACGACATCATCGAGCAGGTCGACCCAGTCACACTGTTTGTTCTTGTCTGTACTGCGGAAGCAATGCTCTCTGCTGGTGTCACCGACCCTTACGAATTTTACAAGTATGTTCACCTGTCTGAGGTCGGTAACTGCATCGGTTCCGGTATTGGAGGCACCCACGCTTTGCGAGGCATGT